CATTATAGATGGTTGTGAGCCACCATAGGATTGCTGAGAATTGAACCACTGAGCCATCTCTCCAGTTATGCCCAGCTTTTTGTTTTGACTTTTGAAGAATTCCTGTTTACTGATGGTTCTGAAAACTATAAAGTTAAAACAACTCTATGTGTGACATAAATATGCGTGAATGTGCACTCACATGTACATTTTCACTATATAGCCTAGATTGGCATTGAACTCATGATCCTTTTGCTGAGATGACAGGCATGTACCACCATTTGTGTAAAAAGTTTAGAGTTGGAAAAGAATGGCGTGATACATACATATTAGCTTTCTGGCTTTGAGGCAAGTCTTTCAAGTCATACTTTTCTCCTTTCCTCTTTTTCTCTGTGGAGCCTGAGGGCTATACAGAACACTGTCCTGAAATTTGCTGTCATGTTCCTGCCTCTGCCTCCCAGGTGTTGGGACTGTAGGTATGAGCTGCCTCACCTAGTGCTTAATTTTCTTACTAGAAAATTAGTTCATTAAAAGACCTTCCATTCTAACTTTCTCATTCTTTGTCTTGGTTCTTTTGAGTAATATTTGGAGAATTAATACAATAAGTTGAGATATTTATTCCAGTGTTCAAAAACAGTTAACAGTGTATTTCTTGTTTTGGGGAAAAAAGGTAGCTATGGTGGAGGTATAGAAGAAATGTTTGGGAACTGAGAATGTAGTTCAGTTACCTAGCATGTACAAAATTCTGGCTTCTATCCCTGTCTCTTGAGGCCATTTGGGGATACATGAGACTCTGTCAAACTTTTTCTTTTTTTTTTTCAAGACAGAGTTTCACTGTGTAACAGCCTTGGCTGTCCTGGAACTCATTCTGTAGACCAGGCTATCCTTGAACTCAGAGTCTATCTCTGCCCCTACCACCCAAATGCTGGGATTAAAGGTGTTGTCACCACCTCCCAGCATCAAGCTTTTTGGGAGGAATTCCCAAGCAGTGTTGTGTTCTTAGTAGGATATTTGCATCACCTCACATGTTGTGTGATATAGAACCAAACAGGACAATGTGCATGCATGTAAATTTGGACTGTTTTGTAGTATGAGCACTTTATGTGTGTATTTATGTGTACATGTGTGAGGCCAGAGGTTTCTCACTTTCCATCTTGTATTTTTGGTCCCCCACCCCGGGGTTTCTCTATATTAACAAGCCCTGGCTGTCCTGGAACTCACCATCTAGAGCAGGCTGCCCTCCCTCCTGAGTGCTGGGATTAAAGGTGTGCACCACCATGCCTGGCTGTAAATTTTTTTTAAAAGCTGTATATAGATATCTACCACAATTTATGCTAAGGTTATGTAAACTGCAGTCTCCAAGGTAAGTGGATTAGACAGGAGACAGAGACAGAGTTTTGGTTTTATATATTCTACCTAATCTGGTAGCCAGGCTAGTCATTCTGTTGGATTGGCAAGAAAGACTTGTGGAATTGAATAATTCTTTTCTGATTTCCTGTAGTGTCTCCTCTTTCTTGTACCTAGACAAAATGGAGTGCTTTAGGGTCAAGTGTATTTAAAATGAAAACAACTTTAGTAGTATTTTGGGTTAGTGTGAATGTAATATCTTTTTCTCACGCCATGTCAGTTAATGTAACTTTCACAGCATACTAACCTATTTCACAAAACTGCCCTCACCTCAAGCGCTAGCTGCAAATGGGGTGCCAAAGCTGTTTATGTCTTCCCATTTGACTATGGATTTGGTGGTCACCATGGTTCAGTGTTTTGGTACACATGTCTGAAACTCACCAAATAGGCTAGTATGGCTAGCTAGTAAGCTCCAGTGATCAGCCTTTTTCTACTTCTTTAGCTCTGGAATTGCAGATGTGTACACCATGCATATGTGTGCTCAGCTTAAGAAGTTTTTTCATTCATTCATTCATTCATTCATTCATTCAGTGTGTGTGTGTGTGTGTGTGTGTGTGTGTGTGTGTGTGTGTGTGTGTGTGTGTGTTTGTGTTTGGGATTTCATAGAGTGTCATGTCACATGTGGAGATCAGAGGACAAGTTGGGAGTTGGTTCTTTCCTTCCGTGTGGGCTCCCAGTGTTGAACTCAGGTCATCAGAATTAGTGGCAATTGTCTTGACCTTTTGAGCCATCTTGCAGGCCCCAGCCTTTGTTTGTGCTAGGTGTGTTCTGGGAAACAAACTCGGGTCCTTGTGCTTACAAGGCAAGCATTTTATTGACTAAGCCTCTCTTATCTTTTGAGACAGTCTTGCCTATGTAATCCTAGCTGGTTTGGGATTTATTCTGTAGCCCAGATTGTCCTCAAATTCAATATTTTCCTACTTTTGCTTCCCAAGTGTTGAGATTATTGTTATCACCATGTCCAGCCCGTATTTCTGTGAGTAATGGGGCAGTTTATATCGCCTGTGACTACTGTTGTAGTTTTATATTTTATGTGAGTTTTATATTCATTCATCAGCTTATAAACGTGTTCTAGTCTGTTCTAAGTGTTTAAAGTACAGTGTTGTGTGAAGTGTTCTAGGTACCTGTACAGAGGTATTAATGAGCATTGTGATTCAATGTTGTGAAGGGAACTAGTTTTAGAAATACATAGACATGGCATCCAACCCTCGGGTTTATATTTGAATTAGGAGATATCTATCTATGTCTTTTTTTAAATTTATACATTGACTGGTTGTTTATGGGGGAAGGCCTATATGTGCCATGCGTGATATACATGTAGTTGTCAGATGACAACTTGTGGAAATCAGTTTTCTCCTACCATGTGGGTCCCATGGATTGAACTCAGGTCATCAGGCTTGGTGGCAAGTGTTTTCTTTGGCTGATCCATTTTACTGGCCCAGAGGACTATATTTTCATGTTTAATAAGATGGCAGCTCTAACCGGCAAGAAATTGTAAACCCCCCCCCCCCCCCCCCCCCGGGATTATGCAGATGATTGATTTATTTATTTCTCTCAAAGCCGTTGGAAGTATTTGTTCCTTTGTGGTTGGGGAGATTACTCAGTTGGGAAAGTGCAAGCATGAGGACCTGAGTTCAATCTCCAGAACCCACAAAAAAGTTGGTACTTGATGCTCAGTTTATCTTTTCTACTTGGTGAACACAAGGCCAATAAGAAACCCTGTTTCAAAAAAGCAAACTAGGCCATGCAGTGGTGGTGGTGGTGCATGCCTTTAATCCCAGCACTCAGGAGGCAGAGCCAGGCGGATCTCTGTGAGTTTGAGGCCAGCCTGGTCTACAGAACGAGTTCCAGGATAGGCTCCAAAAGCTACAGAGAAACCTTGTCTCAAAACCAAAAATAAATTAAAAAATAAACAAACAAACAAATAAATAAATAAATAGACAACAAACTGCATGACAGCTGCAGAATTACACTTGAGCCTGTCTTATGGCCTCCAAGGATTTCATACCTTGATTTCGCAGATGTCAAAAAAATTTGAGGGGCACTGAAGAGATGTGCTCAGTAGTTAAGAACTCTTGTTCTTGTAAAGGATCTGGCTTCCATTCTAGCCCCATGTGACGGCTCACAACTTTCTCTTCTGACTTTCCTGGCCACCAGACACACATGGTAGGTGCATGGGCATACACATGAGCAGAACACTCATAACAAATCTAAAAAAATTTTTTGAGGGGAAGTATATCTCAAAGTTAAGTGTAACAAATTCTTTGTTGTTGTTGTTGTTGTTGTTGTTTTGTTGTTTGAGATAGGGTTACCCTATGTAATCCTGGCTGTCCTGGAATTTGCTTTGTAGACTGGACTGGCCTTGAACTCAGATATTGGCTTGCCTCTGTCTTCCAAGTGCTGGGATTAAAGGTGTTCGCTACCACTGCCTGGCAAAATTTTAATGCCATAGCCACTTGCAATTTTTTTTTCTTTTTACAGTAAATTCTTGGCATATTTGTAATAATGTGTTTGCACTGCTGTGGTGTATTAGTGAAGGTCTGAGGACAACCTTGAGTAGCAGTCCTTGTCTTTTACTTTGTGTTTTGAGTCAGGGTTTCTCTTGTTCACTGCTTTGTGTACCATCTAGACTGCAAGCTTCTGCCTCCCCCTTCCTGGAGGGGCACTCTAGGATTACTGGCACTTTCATTACTGCACCTGACTTTGATGTGGTTCTGGAGATCTGAGCTCAGGTCGTCAGGCTTGTCTGGGAAAGTGCTGTGCGCTCTGAGCTATCTCCTCAGCCCATGTAATTATATTTTTAAATAAATCACTATGGTTAGAAGAGCTGATATTTTCATTTTTTTTTTTTTTGGTTTTTCGAGACAGGGTTTCTCTGTGTAGCTTTGCGCCTTTCCTGGAACTCACTTGGTAGCCCAGGCTGGCCTCGAACTCACAGAGATCCGCCTGGCTCTGCCTCCCGAGTGCTGGGATTAAAGGTGTGCGCCACCACCGCCCGGCGATATTTTCATTTTTAAAATGTAGGTTGAAACTCTTCAGGCCATGAATAATAACTAGGCTAACTGGTGCTACCATGGCTGTTGACCAGAGATCACCTGATCATTGTCCAGTTCCTAATGCTCACATATTCTGGGGTTAATGGACTGTGCTGCTTGATACTTAGGTTCTGGGATGCTGCAGCTCTAAGACTGGGTAATGGACCATCATTTACAGTGTTCTTTGTGTTGCAATTGATCTTGCATATAGTACATATGTGTTCATACTAAAGTAAGCTTTCACAAAGTTCATATATCACATGGGACTCTTTCTCCTATCTCTTTCTTTTTGTTATTAGAAAAAGTAATTCAAAAAAAGAAGTATACTGATTACTGTTCTACTTTGGATTTTGATACTTAAGACAAAACAACCAGGTCCAGAAACTTAGCAAATGGACCCTTGCAACTGCTGCTCTGAGCAATTGCCATATTTCTTTTTAGAGGTTTTTAGCTATATCAGTAATGCTAGTTCTTTTCTTTCTTTCTTTCTTTTTTTTTTCTTTCAATCCCTTTAATAAGGTGCTCTGAGAAACCAGAATAATAACAGGCAGGGGGTGGACAAAATAATGCTTCTTAAGCCCCGCTTAGCAATTCATCAGTCATCTTCTGGTAACTGGATCTTGCTGGGATCAAAACAGTTGGATTCCATGATGGGGAGGCCGTTGGCTTCTCGATATTTCACAAGTCTCTCAGCTTCCCGGCGGGCCCACTCTTGCATCCTGTAGTCAGGCAGATATGCCACAAATGTGGTACCAAAGACCAAGGCGATGGAAAAACCAAAGAAGAAGACAGCTCGCATATTCCAGACATCCACCACAGGGTCCTGGTCATAACCTTGAAAGTCTGGGTTCTTCGCGTAGAGGTTTTCGTCCTCGGGTTCTGGGTCTTCCTGCCAGAGCATGGTCGGTTCTCGTTGCCGCTTTCTCTCCACAGCAGATGGCGAGATTACAGCCCTGGAGGATTCCCAGCGAACGCGGGCAGCAGGAAGCCCTCGTATCACCGCTGCTGCGGAAAGGCGGCGAGCATACAAACTTAACAGCCGGGCCACCATGACAGCTTGTGCTGCTGGGTCGGGGAGGGGGGGGGGGAGACACCTAGTTCTTTTCTTTGAGTGGCTGAACCTGTTACTAGTTGAGAGGAAAAAAAATAGGTATATAAGTAGAAGTCAATAGAATAATTGTCTTTAATTTCTTTGTAGGTCAACATCTAATTTGAAATATTAAAAGTGGATACAAAACTATTTCCGCAATGCAGACAATTAAGTGTGTTGTTGTCGGTGATGGTGCTGTTGGTAAAACATGTCTCCTGATATCCTATACAACAAACAAATTTCCATCGGAATATGTACCAACTGTAAGTATCAAGGTTTTCTGATAGTGAAAGGAATTTTAATGTGATCTCCTTTGAAAAAAACTTTGCCTGCCTGAACTGCCCTTTTAAAAAAAATTAAATTTCATTATCTTTATTTACTTTGTGGGGTGTGTGTATGTATGTACATACCCCACCTGCCTTGGCACTTGTATGGAGGGTTGAGGACAACTTGAAGGAGGAGTCTCTTTTGATCATGTGGGTCCTGGGATTGAACTCAGGTTGTCATGTTTGGCAGCAAGTGCCCTTACCATCTCAGTCATCACACCAGCATATTGTTTGCTATTTTTAAAGGTTTTTGACTTCTCATGGGTAACTACTTATACTTTAAAATTGAAATTAAACAGCTGAGGGTGGAGGGATGGCTCCACAGTTAAGAGTACTGGCTGCTTGCTTTTCGGGAGAAAGAAGTTTTTTTGAGGGGTGAGAATTTAAAGATATAATTTGATAGCTGGGTGGTGGCGGCACAAACCTTTAAGTCCAGCACTTTGGGGGCAGAGGCAGGTGAATTGCTATGAGTTTGAAGCCAGCATGGTCTACAGAGGTAGTTCCAGGACAGCCAGGGCCATACGAAGAAACACTGTCTCAAAAAAATCAAAAAGAAAAAAAAGTAGTTTGGTACTAAAATTACATTTTTGAGTTGGCCCATTAATCAGAAGATATTTTGAAGTTACAAGGGTCTTTATGAGATAAGATGTAAATCTTAGGGGCTGGAGAGATGGCTCAGAGGTTAAGAGCACTGGCTGCTCTTTCAGAGGTCCTGAGTTCAGTTCCCAGCAACCATGTGATGGCTCACAACCATCTATGATGAGATCTGATGCCCTCTTCTGGCACGTAGGCAAACATGCAGGCAGAACACTGTATACATAATAAATTTATTAAAAAAAAAAAAAGATGTGGATCATGTCTCAGGGTGAGACATCCATTGGGAAACTTGTGTCTGAGCTTTTACTTGTAAACGTGATTTCCAAGTCTTTCATGACTTTATTTGATGTGAGCTTCTGGGTGTTTTTTATGTATTTGTATCGTTAGGGAAAGATCAGCAGTAGAATAAATTTTTTAGATGGGCCTGTTTAGGTAAATAGGCCAAAGTAAATTCTATATCTGTGGTGTCTACATTGGCATGGAAATGGATTTGGTATGCAGTGAATGTTTATGCCCATCTGTGGACTGAGTTAGAGGACAGATTAGAGCTGAAGAATTTTATACATCATCTTATCTTCCATGGGAGAGAAAAGTCAGCTCCAACTGCAGATAAGACTTGGAAATCAAGCTTTTCTGATTCTGTTTTTTTTGGAGACTGGGTCTCAACTGTGTAGCACTGGCTTTCCTGGAACTTGTTGTGTAGACCAGGCTGGCCTGGCCTTAAACTCACAGAGGTGTGCTTGATATCTCTGTCTAATGCTTCCTGATTTCTGAATTGTTTTTATCCCCCCGAGGCAAGGTTTCACTACATTGTTCATGTTGGTTTCTAGGACTCAAGTGATCCTTCTGCCTTAGCTTCCCAAGTGGCTCATCCGGATCGATGCTACCCAACACATTCGGCATATTCCTGTTTTCTTTTTTCCTTTCCTTTAATCAATTACTTACTTATTTATTTTTTAAATCTCATTTATTTTTTTTTTTCGAGACAAGAGTTTTTCTGTGTAGTTATGGTGCCTGTCCTGGCTCTCGCTCTGTGAACCAGGTTGGCCTCGAACTCACAGAGATCTGCCTGGCTTTGCCTCCTGAGTGCAGAGGCCCACAGAGGCCAGAGGTGCTAGATTCCTCTGGAGCTGGAGTTACACGTGGTTGTGAGCCTCCTCATGTAGGTTCTGGGAACTGAACTCTGAAAGAACAGTATGAGCTCTTAACCACTGGGTCATCTCTCCAGCTCAGTTTCAGTTCTGAATTAAAAGTAGCTGTCTGTGAATAAATAATTTCTTTGTTGTTTTTTTTTCTTTCCCCCCAAGACAGGGTTTCTCTGTGTAGCTTTGCGCCTTTCCTGGATCTCGCTCTCTAGACCAGGCTGGCCTCGAACTCACAAAGATCCACCTGGCTCTGCCTCCTGAGTGCTGGGATTAAAGGCGTGTGCCACCACCGCCCTTCAGATTGAACATTGTTGAAGCAAAGCACTGTCTTAAGTGTTTTAGTCTTGAAGGGGATTATTTGAAAATTTTTGTTATTTATTTTTGAGACAGTCCTTAAATTCACCAAATAGGTCAGAGTGACCTTGGTCAGTTTTTCTTCCTGCTTCTCCTGCCTAAGTGCTGGGGATTATGGGGTGTTCCACCATACCCAATTTGTTTTTTCCTTTTTCTTTCTTTTCCCTCCCTCCCTTCCTTCCTTCCTTCCTTCCTTCCTTCCTTCCTTCCTTCCTTCCTTCCTTCCTTTATTTTAAGATTTATTTATTTATTTTTTATATATGAGTGCTCTATCTGCATGTACGCCTTTATGCTAGAAGGGCATCAGATCCTACTAGAGATGGTTGTGAGCCACCACGTGGTTTCTGGGAATTGAACTCCAGACCTCTGGAAGAGCAACAGTGCTCTTCACCACTGAGCCATCGCTCTAGCCCTTTTCTTTTTTTAAGCTAGTTTATTTTCATTTAGCAAAGTATTTTATTCAAAAGCTTCCTAATACTACTAGTTGTCAAAAAGAATGAAAATCACCTTTCCTTTACTGCCCAATCTCATTGAAGACGGATGGAAGGGTCCTCTAGAGTCGGAGGCCTGGTTTCTGTGATACCACTTATGATTTTGTGTTCCTCAGGTAGTAGGACATCCCAGGACACAGTCTCTCATTTTGTTATCAAGAACCATTCAGCTCATGCAAGAACATAGTTGGTGAGATTGGTTACATAGAAAGATGAATTTTCTTCTTGGGAAGGAAATAAGTGGTTAGGAATTGTACTATCTCACTCACTAACAATGTTATATTTGTTTTGTTTTAGGTTTTCGACAACTATGCAGTCACAGTTATGATTGGTGGAGAGCCATATACTCTTGGACTTTTTGATACTGCAGGTGAAAACTTAATGTCTCATAATATTTTGATCTGTTACTGTAACAGTTGCTACTGGATGTCTTCTTTGGACACCATGAAATTAGTATATTAGTAATTCACTTATTTTTTGTTATTAGCAAGGGGATTTAATCTAATCCCAGGATTTAGGAGGCAGAGGTAGTCAGATCTCTGTGAGTTTGAGGCCAGTCTAGCCTACAGAGTGAGTCCCAGGACAGCCAGGGCTGTAGAGAGACCCTGTCTCAAGACCACACTCAGAAAGATAGTTGACCCTGGATGACTAATAGGAGTTTGGAATACCCTGGGTGGATGGTATGGTAGAGGATACAATATGGTCTGAGAGTCATTAGGTAAACTCTAATGAGTTTGGAGGCTGGAGAGAGACTAGGGGACTGAGCTCAGAAAACATGTCTGCTGATTATTTCCTTTCATCCCCTTGTTCAAATCTCACAGTTGAGGACTAGAGATGTAGCTTAGTTGGTAGCATATTCCCCTTGCATGCATGAGGCCCTGGGTTCAATCCCCAGCATTACCACATAAATTTGGTATGACTGTAGTCACAGCAGAAGCTTCTCTGGGCAGAAGCAGGAGGATCAGAAGCTCAAAGTCATATATAGCAAATTCAAGGCCAGGCTGGGCTACATAAGACCCTGAAATGAAGTACTCTGTTTCCTAAATGTGACCAAGGTTGTAAATGTCATATTTATTATTTTTATCTATCTATCTATCTATCTATCTATCTATCTATCTATCTATCTATCTATCTATCTATCTATCTAATCTTATCTATCTATCTATCTTTCATTCATTCATTCATTCATTCATTGGTTTTTTTGAGACAGGGTTTCTCTGTGTAGCCCTGGCTGTCCTGGAACTCTTCTTTGTAGACCAGGCTGACCTCGAACTCACATAGATCCACCTGCGTCTGTCTCCCATTGCTGGAATTAAAGGCCTGTGCCATTACACTGGGGCAGTTGTAAGCATTTTGAATCAGTCCTTCAGAATGTGTTTTATTTTATTTTTTGAGACAGTATTCTTGTGTAGTCTAGGTTAGTCTTGAATATAAAGTCTCCCTGCCTCAACCTCCTGACTTTGAGATTACAGGTGTTTTCAGATAAAAAGTTGTTGAATATACAATAAAATTCATTTTGGTAAGTTTGATGAATTGTATTGATTTCCACCATAATATATCTACCTTATCTATGGGTCTATTTTATCCATCCATCTATATCTATCTATATCTATCTAGCCACCTACCCACCCACTCACCCATCCATCTGTCCATCTATTATCCATCCATCTATCCATCCATCCATCTAATATCCTAAAATTTTGCTTGTGCTTTTACAGCTTTTTCTTGACCTTGACAGCCACAGATGGACTTCTAGGTTCCCACTATTCTGCTCTTCCAGGATTTCTTGTGAATCCTTTATGTTTGACCTGTGAGAGCCATCCATGCATGTACATCATGGTTCTTTGTTTTTGTTGCTAAGCACTGGCCTACTCTGAATACAGCATAATTGTTTATCCACATGTGTGCTAATGTGTTTGGGTTCTAGTTATAAGCTATTATAAATATTGGTGCTATGAACTGCTTCTGTTTTATCTGATGTCAGTAACGTTGATATGAACATAGGTTTACAAATCCTTCTTTGAGACCCTGCTTTCAGTTCTTGTAGCTGTGTATACCTGTAAGTGGAGT